TATATATGTACCACATCTTTCTAATCCAGTCATCTACTTTTGGGCATTTAGGCTGCTTCCATGTTTTTCCAATTGTAAATAAAGCAGCAATAAACACGGGGGTGCAGGTATCTTTTTGAATCAGTGTTTTTGTATCTTTTGGGGAGATACCTAGGAGTGGGATTGCTGGGTCGTAGGGAAGCTCCATGTTAAGCACAAAACTGCTCACTTTTATAAAATCATAACTCATTCCAGGGCAAGGTAAAGTGTTTACATATAAGAGCTATCCTTTGTCATTTATTTTTCTAATTCCTTATTTCCCAACCAAATGCAAGCTTGCCAGTACACAAGACCTTTCAACAGCTATAAAACAGATTTATTGATGACTCTGGTACTATCTGCAAGGTTAGTTTCAGTGTTCTTTTTTTAAAAAGGTATATTTATTTATGCACACAAGAACTGGGGTACAGGCCAAAGGTGCAGGGGGTGAAAGGATTCACCAGAGACAGAGTGGGGAGCAGAACAGGCAGACTGACTAAAGTACACTGCTGAGGGGAGCAGCCAGGAGACAGGAGAGGTCTGCTGTGCCATGTGGGTCAGCTTCCCAGTTGGGGATTGAACTCAAGCTGCAGTGGCTGTGGATGGCTTCATAGTGCTGTGCTTTAACTCACTCTGCCACCAGGAAGGGCCCTAGTTTCAATTTTCAACCTCAACTGCAAGATGACAGATCTTATGCATAGTTATCTTTTCCCAGAAGTAATCAAATTTAAGTAAAATAGTTTCCACCAGCTCTTTCTCCTTTCTATGCTCTCCTGCATATTCTGTTCTCCTTTTCACACTCAAAATCATGAAGGATCAATAAGTTACCCAAGGAGCCCTCTACACATACTTAGTCTTTCATTCAGATGTCAGGGTTTTATGGGTAACGCTAAGTGTGCATAGCAGGGGCCTTCCTAGTGGCGCAGGGGTTAAAGACATAGAGCTATCAACTATCAACAACCAGCCACTGAGACATGAGTTCGATTCCCAACCACAGAGCCGGCCCACAGGGTACAGCAGACCTTTCCTGTCTCTCCTGTTGCTCCCCTCAGCAGTGTATTGCAGTAAATCTGCCTGTTCTGCTCCCCACTCTGTCTCTGGTGAATCTTCTCACCCCCCACACCTCTGCCTTATACCCCAGTTCTTGTATGCATAAATAGATCCTTTTTAAAAAAAGTTTATATCAGGATGTCTAAGATACTGAATAAATTTACCAGGAAAATTAAATTGTTGGTTGACTGCACCCAAATTTCAGTATGGTCATTTCTCCCACTACTGTCTTTTCATTACAAGAGTCCTATCATGGCATAAAGCAAACCAATAAAATAACAGCATTTACTGAGTGTTTACTATGTGCCAGGTATGGAATGATCACTTTACACAAATACTTCATTTACTGATATGAGACACCTTTTAGAAACGTTGTGCGTGGCATTAAAAGCGCTGTGATGTTTGCTTCTTAGTAGGTATATCCATGCGAGGATAGACCTACTCTAACCAGAATACTAATTTACGTGTGCCCTTATTTGGCATTTTTACCCCAGGAAAGCAAAAACAGGTTATAACAGACATAACCTGTTTCTCTCACCTTCAATTTGGTCACCTTGGACCTGCAGGGTAAACTTAATGCCAATCATGACCTCATTGCAAATGCCCAACCAGATGACTTCACTGCAGGAACAGCCAGGAGACAGCATGAGAGATTTTGCTCAAACATTTCATTACAGGAAAGCACAAATTCATTCATCAGAGGAAAAAGGGAAAAATAATACCTTGACAAAATATCTATTTCAGGCAAATTTACCCTAGCATTAATACCCTTTTTTTATATGTTTAAGTTCAAATGGTTCTTAGTGACTGATTTAAACAAAAACTAGGTCCGTAGCCAAAAGGACACCTGAAGGTCTGCAAAATTTTGATGAATGAAAAAAAAAATTAATGAATTTTAAGATATCCAAAGTTTATGAACCTGCAGTATGTGCAGGAACATTTTCTTCCCCACCTACTCCCCAATTTGTGATTCGGTTGCACAGACGCCCTTATAGGCTGTAATACAAACATTCTGTTCTTCAGCTTAAGTTCCAGTTTCATACCAGCAAGAAGACAATAAAGTTGGAAACATACAATTAGATATAGGGACAATGCAAATAGTATTTTCTGGATGATCATTTCTCAAAATCTAAGGGTAGATGGGGGACTGCAATACTGGGATTATTTTTCCCTTGAAATGTTATAGCATATATAGTTGTACAATCTGAACTGAGCCTAAACTCAATTATCCTTGAGACCACCCCTAAAAAATTGGAAATCTCCCACTTGAGCCATGTGAAAACTGGCAGTTGAATTGGTGACTCACTTAAAAGACATGTGACCCAGTCACATGCTCACTATTGCAAGGACCTATGTAATTTGATGCTTGATTATGAAACATGTTATAGCCAGTATTTTTTCAAATTATTTCAACATGAACTTGTGACTTTTTGAAGGGATTTAATTTTTCTAATTACTTGTCCTGCTTTACTTTGTGACTCGAATTTTTTCCTGCTTTATTCTGTGTCTCAAATCTGAGACGATTTTTCCATGTACTCCTACTTTGGTCTAAGTATATAGTATTTCCTAAGTTCTTGTTGGCAATACAACAGAATTTTGAAAATCTGTTAAGGGCCATAAATTTGTACTCTTAACTCATTTTAATTATGTCCTCACCTTTTGGAAGGATGGTGTCAATGTGTATTATCAGAAGCAATGATTTTACTCATGAGATAATCACTAATAATTTTGGAAAGTTCTTTCTCATCTAACTTCATATTTGATTGTCATATTAACTAAAGGAACAGGTGACTAGGTAATAGAATGACAGAGAAAATGATAAATTCACCTGACAAAAGTGTTGCTACTTACTCCAGCTGAGACATTTATCTACCAACAAATGCATAAAATGTAAATCTGATTTGCTTAAAATCTTCCTGTGGCTTTCCACTATTGCAAGACTACATCCAAACTCTTAAAGGTGCCATACAGAGTTTCCAGGGTCTGTCCAGGCCTTCTCTCTCTATCCCTCTCCCACTGTAACATTTCAGTCGCCAGCCACATCACGAGGTTTCAGTCAGGTGTCCTGACACACAGACCAGGTGTGTGGTGGGGTATGTCACGTAGGCCTGGGCAAACACAGCCTGTGACTCTGGTACAGTGACAGAATGACCTGACCAGACCAGTCACTAAGTGACACATGACTGTCATTTACCTCATGTTCCAGGTAAGCCATCCTGGTTTGGCTCTCTGGCTTCCAAACCTCTGTTGTCTACCTAGAATGTCCCTTTTCTTTACTGAAACTTCCCCTTATACTTTTGGCCTACTTCCATACATTCAACAAGATTTGGCTCAGCCATCACCTTGAGAGAGTCAGGTTAAATGTCATTAGTTAAATGTCGTTAGCATGGGCCTCTATGACCCAGCACGGCTGCGGCTCAGCACACTGTCCCATGTTCATTAAGAGTAATCTGCTACTCATTTCCCTGTTAATCTGTTAGCTTTCTTACAGATTGAGACTATGAAGTAGTTTGGGGATTTTTTTGTTTGTTTGCTTTTTGATGGAGCATCCTTTACTTTTACACTTTCACAAAGCAGTTTTTGGTAAATAAACTTACCGTGCTGCTCTGCCCCTTGCCGTGGGGTGGAGGTGTGTACTTCCTCTCCTTGATTAGCTTATCCTGCTGCCTTCTGATGGCACTCAGATATTGCCCATTTCCTGCCCACGCAGACACTCTGCAATTCTGTCTTGCATTCTTTCTCTGCTCGAATACCACCATTCCATCTATTGCACAACCTATTCATCCCTCCTCAGAAGCATAACGTAGAGCTGGGGTCTTGTGAAGCTGCTTAGGGTGCTTTGGACTGTCATGGGGCTTATTTCAAGGTCCTGCTTTTATCGCTTGTCAAAGAACAGCCTGGCGTCCACCACCCACTGTGCCCTTGCCTCCTGCTGGCCACCCATCGCACCATCTGGAGTGGTTTGGTGGTTTTTCCCCCTTTTCTTTAAGATTTATTTTATTCATTTATGCATACAAGAACTGGGGCATAGGCCAGTGGTGTAGCGGATGAGAGGGCCAGACAGAAGAGGTCTGCTATACCATGTGGGTCAGCTTCCTGACTGGGGATCGAACTCATGCTGGTGGCTGGCCATAGCATGACAGCACTGAGACTTTAACCCTGCACCACCAAGGAGGCCCTGTATGGTTTGTTTTGAAGCAAACACTTCTTGTGCTAAGCATAGTGCCTACCCCTCAAAATACTTTTAGTGAAAGAGTGAAATTTTCTGTCATAAAATGTGTTAAACTGAGAATATGTAAATAATTTCAAAATAGTAGCTCTAATAAAAACAAAAACAAACAAACAAAAAGCATTAGTGGCCTCCCTGGTAGTCTGGGGGTTAAGGCTCAGCATCGGCCTCAATGGCCGAACCCAATCCCTGCCAGGACCCACATATGGCACAACAGACCTCTTCTGTCTTGCTGGCTGCTCCTGTCAGTGGTGTATTTCAGTTAATCTGCCTGTTCTACTGCCCACTCTGTCTTCGGTGAGTCCTTTTACCCACCCTGCACCTCTGGCCTACATCCCAGTTCTTCTGTGAAAAAAATAAATAAATAAAATCCTTTGGAAAAAAGTTACAAACCACTAGCTCTATGCCCTCTGAGCATTTGCTAAGCAAAAGAATTTTCCAATGAAGGTTCATTATTTGGCCAGTTATAAGTCACAGATGTCTCCAACAAAGCTATATGACAGGCAAAAAAATGATTGTCTGTCTGGCATCTGTTATCAAATTCCCAGGCATTCTACAGTCCACAGTTAGACTGTTCCTACTTAAGACATTTAACGTAGAACACATGCTTCCTTGCCAACTGGACATCAGACTTTGAACCCACCTTTTCTCCATCCTGATAGGAGATACAGACCTCAGGATCAGGGGGCACATTCTCCTTTTGCTCCAATTTATGAGATTTGATTTCACCACCATTGGCTCTCAACTCATTCTACAAAATAAAAATAATCTGTCAACTAAAAAAGACATCTCACTATTCTAGTTTTTTCATAGTACATCTATTAAGTCAACTTGTAAAGTTAAAAAAGTCTTTTAAGAGACCGATTTCAGGTCAAATCAATCCTCTAACTCTCTCAAGCAAAACCTACTGACTCGTGAAATGAGAAAAGTGGCTTTGTGGACACATACCTCAGAGTTCAGTATCTGTATACATGTCTAACTAGATGCTCATTAGAATACAGACACGTGAGCGCACACACACACATACACAGCGTCTTGTGATTCACTCTTGTGGCAGCAGAGCTTGTGGGAATGCAAAGCTTGTGAGTTTTGTCAGAAAAGACCATTCTGGAGCAGGGGGAAGGAGATGCCAAAGTGCGAATAATTAAGAAAATATACTGACCATATATATATAATTGCCCGGCCTGGAAAGAGAGACAGGGATGATGTATACATATAAAAACTGAAATGAGGTAGATATTACAATCATATTTTACAGAGAAGAAATTTCAGAGAATGCAAATTTACTATTACGAGGGGGGGGGAATCTATTTCATTTGTTTCCTATATGAGTACAAAAAGGAATGTATGTTACTAAAACATTAAAATTACATTTAATGATACCATAAAACAAACCTGCTTTGTGGACCCTTCAAAAGCATGTTTTTCACATAAAATTTATACATTGAAGTAAAGACATATTTTATCCTAGTTCTCATCACATTAAAAAACAGGCAGTACTGTTACAAGCAGTATGCATAAACACATTCTTTTGTGAAGAATGATTGGGGAAAAAATTTACGTTGACAATTTAGGGAAGGACAGGTAAATAGTCAAAGGGGATCAATTTATGTGGAGGTGGAAGGAAACTAGACTTTTGATGGGGCTCATCAGCAGCATGTGCAGATGGTGAATTATAATGCCTGAAACTTATATAACACAAACTAATGTTAATTTAATAAAAATCTTTAAAATAAGTAAAAATAAAAGGTGATGAGATTGTACTTACACAATCTGAAAAATACATATACTTAAATAACACATAGCTTTTGCAAAAACAAAACAAAAACCAGCAACAAAATAAATTAACTATGTATTAGATTGAAAACCATGGATGAACATGAACATTTCCTACTTTGAGTTACCTAGTAATTTAGTGTCATTCTGTTCTCTGTGACTTTTTTTTAGGTAGAGGGAGGGGACAAGAAAGTTATGGCAATAGGCTCAAGGAAGGGAGTATGAGTGCGCTGACTTAGGTGTGGGATTCCAGATTGAGCTCTGGGATTTCATCTGGGGGTGCACAGCATAGGGAGGGGTACATCTCTTAGGAGGAGGTGGCAGCCGAGACTTCAGAATACAACAGCATTGTCCAACAACTCGTTCCCGACCCATCTCTAAGTCTGACCTCCAGAATCACGGCCGAGAGAGTGCTTTGTTACAACCATCTCTGTATAGGGTTGAGAAATTCACTTCCTTTTTACAAGAATTCCTAAGAATTTTCAACTCTTAAAATTTATAGCACAGGAGAACTGCAATGCGGAAACTCTATTAGGAGTTTAGAGAAAAAAGTCACTGAACAGGTTTTTCCACTTAGAGTCACCAGGTTGGAATGTTATACCAGGAGGGCACTTGGAAACAGCTAAATCCTGTAACTAGGGGGAATGAAACTACACAGATGACCTATTTGCTGTAAATCCTGACTTACTTCTAGGAGGAGTCTAAATTTGCTTACTTTTTATCCTTACAGTCAATAATGACACTGCGACATTCCACACTCTCTACAGATTTACCATCATCCTTTCTTAAAACTTCAGTGAAAAATCAAGATGAAGTTATTCATCACCCCAAGTCTTTGGTCCACCCACAAATACTTAATATTGTGGAGAACACATACTTTAATATTGTGGGGAAGGAAGGCTCAACACCCAAAATATGTGTTATGATTTCTAATTACCAAATTTAGAGCACCCAGGAACAAAGGGAATTTAATCTTATTCTTTCAACTTTGTCTAAAAATTAGGACATCAGGAGATTAACAGTATGTAATATGAACTGTCAGAAGGAACAAATGTTAGAAAGATACATATGTGTGTGTGTGTGTGTTACATGAATAAATGCCATTTAAAATAACTTAGCTATTTTAGTTCTGTTGTATCAGGCTGCTAGTTCAGCCTAAGAAATGTAAAATGAGAAGGCCTGCCATTCCACTGTGACAGTGAAGTGTGGCAATGCCTGCGCTTATCATCTTCTTACCTACTCTGTCTCCTTAAAAAACCACTATATCGTAAGGATTACAGTTTCCTTGCAATCCATGTGTGATATGATTTCATTTATATGAACTATCCAGAAATAGGCACACCCAATAGATACAAAGTAGATGGGGCTGCCAGATGTGGGGAGGGGGAGTGGGGTGGCACTACACAGGGGCGGGGGTATGTTTCTGGGGTGGTGGGAATGTTTTGGAATTAGACAACGATGATGGTTACACAACCCTGTGAATAAAGGAAAATTAAACAAATTATGTAATTATAAATGGTGATTTATATCAATTTAAACAATGATAACCTTCTAGCCTGTATTAATATGGAAGTGATCTGGTATCTAAAACCAAAATAAAATAAATGTTTCTATTAAAATGAATAAAATACTATTTCTTTAAAACAATAATAACAAGATTAACAGAAAGAGACAGGAAATGTGACTAAATGGTCACATTACTAAAAATGAGTAGGGTGGCGATGAGGCCTAGGGAGAAAGTCAGGATCAGAACATGGTAAGGGCCCTCCCTGGTGGCGCAATGGGTTAGGATGAAGCACTACAAGCTAGCTGCAGCATCTTCAGTGTGAGTTTGATCCTCCACCCCAGAGGTGACCCACAAGGTGCATCAGACCTCTCCTGACCTGCCCGCTGCTCCCCTCAGCAGTGTACTTTGTCAGTCGTTCTATCCTGCTCCCCACTCTGTCTCATTAAATCCTCTTGTCACTCCTGTACCTCTGGCCTGTACCCTAGATCTGTATGCATAAATAAACAAATACTTTTTACACTGCTGAGAGGAGCAGTGGGTGGTCAGGAGAGGTCTGCCACGCCATGTGGGTCGCCTCCGGAGCCAGGATGGAACTCACGCTGAAGTGGCTTTAGCTTCTTAGTGCTGTGCTTTAACCTGCTGTGCCACCAGGGAGGGCCCTAAATAAATTTTTTTTTTTAAAAGAACATGATATGGATTACAAGTGAAACTAGGGTAGGATTTATGTGAAAAGAGAACTGGGGTTGGGGGGGAAGCCAGGCTCATATGTCAAGGAGGTATTTCTCTTTGTTGTGCTCAGTCATCATTTGGTGGATGAGTAAATGAAGAAATGATGCAGAAAACATACCACATAGTGGGTGGAATTGCTTTGTTTGGACACAGCAGCCTGGTACTTTGCCATTCGATCCTTGATGGAAGTTTCTGACAGGCGGGGTAGCTCCAGATTTCGCCGACTCTCACTTTTCTCTGAGTTGAATGCAGAAGATGACAGCTGACCTGGAAGCATAAGACAGGCTTTATTAGCAAATAAAATTTGATTTGAATGGTTTAATCAAAATTTTGGGTTGTGGCAATATTATGTAATCATTTTTTCTAGTGAAAGTACAAAGAAAGAAATCAGGACTGTAACTGTCGTTTATGAGGTAACCGCTCACTGTCCAACATGAAAGACAGAACCCTTACCATAATTATGTATTACACATTAAAATTTTTGGTTTACTTAACATGTGAAAAATTTTAGGTATCATGCATTTCTTTAGTGCTAGGGGTGATGACTTTCCGGTGTCTGTTAATTTTTTCTTTTGTAAAGTGCCTGTATATGTTCCCTTTGAAACATAATGATTTGCTTCCAAAGCTAAGTTTCATTACCATAAGTAATTCAAAGCAGCCAATCTGATGAGGGATTCTGTCCATCTATTGGAGTCCCCAACCTTCAGGTGCCCACGGTCAAGACTGTTGGTACTACCTCCCTGGTAATCCCATAAATTCCCCTTTGGTTACCACTGACTAGCATGGATTAAAAACACCTAAAAACTATTTGTGGGGAGCAGTGAAATTTAGAAATGTGTCTAACAGACACATTTGTGCCATTTTCCCGTTAAAGTATTGGTTTTGAGGCTAAAAGTCATCAGCACTGATGAGTCTTTCCTAAAGAACTTCACATACTTGGAGGGACCTCTCTGTTTACCTGGGCTTAGTTCCAAGTCATCCAGAGAATAGCTGTTTTCAGAGACCCTCTTTCCACCCGTACTTCTGCTTTGGGTCCGAAGAAGCTGTTTGGAAAACAAAATCCAACATTAAGCTTATATGGATGATGGGAAATCTTGACACAATACTCAAAAAGGAGGCCTGTAATCTGCTTTTTAAATAAAACCCAGAAGAAATTTGATTTTATATTAGTTTTCGTAGTCCACAGAATATGTTTTCAACATTATAAATATCAAGCTCAACATACGGGCCTAGGGGAAAATAACTCTATATGGGGCGATGCTCTCTGCTAAGGATCATGCCTAACCAGTTTATGAGCAGGCTTGTCATTTAAACAGTCACCGGAGGGGCCTTGACAATGGCATGGCTCTCCAAACGGCCAAGGGCTGGTACAGAATCTGCTGTTTGCCTTCTCTGTTCCACTTTCTCTCTCCCAGTACTGCCTTCCTTCATGATCTCATCTCTTTTCCCTAGACTACTGTATTACCTTTCTATTCTACATCTTCCAATCAAGTCTCTGTTATGCTGTAAGATTTCAAACAAAATCTAAATCTATGTCATTCTTTTGTTCAAAATTCTTTTAAGGATCCCTACCCACTCCTTGAATTGGCTTGGTGTATTGTAGGAGACCAGTTCGAGACCCGGTCCCTAAACCATTCTCTCTGGATATTCTTTTCCTCTCCTTTTGTCCTCCAGGAAAAGCAAATTGCTGTGCAGTCTATGCTATTGTAAGTGCTTTCCTGGATTACTTTTTCTATTGTCTAGCAAAGCTTGTTCCTGCAAGATTTAGTGCAAACCATGAGCCATAATTCCCTATGGAAAGCCTGCCCTGCCTCTCCTACAGAAATCTAAGTAGTCCTTCCTGTGTTCCCAAGGCATCTGGTCACAGGTCTACTTTAATTCTGGTCAAGTTATTGTGCATCCCTTACAGGACTGGAAGTTTACTGCCATCACCACAGTCCAGTGCCCTCTTCCCACCCGGTTCAGATCCCATTTCATCTATGTATTTCTATCAATGCAAATAAAAGCAGGATAGAGTATTTTAGTAAAGTACCTCATGATTTTTACAAATATTAATACACCTATATCTCTCAGATCTAGGGTAAATCTCTTATTAAAGTTACATATTATAATTTTTAAGGCTAGAAAAGTAACTCAAGAGAAATTAACTTAGTTCCACAGAATGTTTCCAGACATGGTACACTGAGGTATGCCATGTTTATACAGCTTGTAACCACAGCCAGCTCCAATCACTCAACTCTCAGTTTATTTTCAGACAACTTAAAGGAGGATCTCTGATATCCAGTGTGACAAGAGATAAAATACCTTTTCGAGTTCAATATTAGCAATTAGTGTTAACTTCGAAGGACTAATAAACTCAACAATAAAGTTTAAGGCTATGAACTCTCATTTTTGCCTTCTTTCCCCTTGCAGATATAGAATGTGTCACTTCAGAAATCAGAGCAAAGGCTTGATTACTTGTGCCACACCACTAAGAATATAGTTTCTGGGGCTCCCCTAGTGGCACAAGGGGTTAAGTGTCAGCACTATAAAGCTGTCTGCAGCCTCTGTAGCACGAGTTCAATTCCCAGTCAGGGAGGTGACCCGCATGGCGCAGCAGTCCTCTCCTGTCTTGCCTGCTGCTCCCCTCAGCAGTGTATTTCAGTCAGTCTGCCTGCTCTGCTCTCCATTCTGTCACTTGTGAACCCTTTAACACTCCCCCTACTACCTATTGCCTACACCCCAGAAATAAACAAATCTTATTTATGCACAGGTCTGCATAAATAATCTTAAAAAAGATACATAGTTTCTTACAGATTCAGTGTACATGTAATAGAATTTCTTTCCAGCCAGCTTTTCTATTTACACTGCACTACTGAATCTATTTTCTTTAAGATTTTGAAAATTTATTTATGTATACAAGAGCTGGGGTACAGGACAAGGTACAGGGGGTGAGAAGATTCACCAGAAACAGGTTGGGGAGCAGAACAGGCAGACTGACTGAAGTACACTGTTGAGGGGAGCAGCAGGTAGGATAGGAGAGGTCTGCTGTGCCATGTGGGTCACTCCGTGGCTGGGGATCGACCTCATGCTGCAGTGACTGTTGATAGCATCACAGCGCTGCACTTTAACCTGTAGCACCACCAGGTGAAGGCCCTGAATCTTTTTTTCTTTTTTAAAATAAGTTCTTTTTTCTTTCTTCTTCTCTTTTTAAATGTTTATTTACTTATGCATATAGAACTGAGGTACATGTCAGAGATGCAGGGGTGGTAAGAGGCTTCACCAGAGACAGAGTGGGAAGCAAAACAGGCAGATTGATGAAGTACACTGCTGAGGGGAGCAGCAGGGAGACAGGAGAGGTCTGCTGCACCATGTGGGTTCCCTCCAGTGCTGGGGATAGAACTCACATTGAAGCAGCTGAAATGCTGGGCATTAACCTGTTGTGCCACCAGGGAGGGCCCTGAATCTATTTTTTTTTTTTTTAAAGATTTATTTATTTGTGCATACAGAACTGGGGTACAGGCCAGAGGCTCAGGGGCGGTGAGAGGCTTCACCAGAGACAGAGTGGGGAGCAGAACAGGCAGATCTACGAAGTACACTGCTGAGGGAAGCAGTGGGCGGGTCAGGAGAGGTCTGCCGCGCCATGTGGTCTCGCAGGCGGCAGGCGGGAATCGAACTCATGCGGAAGTGGCTTCAGATTCTCAGTGCTGTGCTTTAACCCGCTGCGCCACCAGGGAGGGCCCTGAATCTATTTTTAATAAAACCCAAAGTAAGCTGTGGCAACTCTAACCTTACCATCTTACCTTTGGATCAGCTACATCAACACTGACCATGTTCCGATGGCTCAGCATACACCACCAGCACCAACCAACAGGGAGCCTCCCACATGGAAACTGGCTGAGTCCCCTATATTTATAGGCTGAGTCCCCCCAATAGTCTTATTTTTTGCTTTTGTGTTATTTCTAAAACATTTCTCATTTCTCATCTTTGGAAATTCCAAAGATTTATTCCAAATACTGCTGCATCTTAAATTAAGATGATCACTATAAAAATCAGAAATTTTATTGCTCAGGTCTTCCCTGGTGCCACAACAGGTTAAAGAACAGCACTGTGATGCTATCTGCAGCCACTGCAGCATGAGTTCAATTCCTGGCTGGGGAGGTGGCCCACATGGCACAGCAGACCTCTCCTGGCCTGCCTGCTCTTCCCCCCAACAGTGTGTTTCAGCCAAGATGCTTGTTCTTCTCCCTACTCTGTCTCTGGTGAACCCTCAGGCCTATACCCCAGTTCTTGTGTGCATAAATGAATAAAAGTCTTAAAAAAAAAGAAAGAATTTTTAGTGCTCGAAAGGGGAGAAAGCCTGGAAATCCCAATTTTCTTAACAGAAAGGGAACAGATTCTGCATTTGTAATACTGGAGCAATGTTTCAAATATTTACATTCTGTTAAAGGCTGTAAAAGGAAAAGGTCAAGTATTATTCCAAGAGTGTCACATGTCACAACCAGTAGAGTTCAGTTTTCTGTCTGTACATGTAGTTACGCCTCATCTTGTGCAAAGTCCAGGCACTGGAGTGACCGAGAGCAAAGCCATTTAGAGCCAGCACAGATGCTTTGCTAGGGCAGATCATATCATATTAAAAATATGATTAAATATTTTTAAAGAAAAAATATGATTAATCATCATGATTAAATATGATAAAATTTCCTTTTCTGTCGAATACAAAAAAAAAAAAAAGAATCTGCAAAGCCATTTCATCATAAAGAAAAATAGAACTGTTTCTGGAAATCAGTTAAACCGACAGTGGCTCTGAGATGAGCTGGCACTTAGGGGCTCCCAGAGGCCCCGAGCATGTTGTTCAGTACCTTTTCACCCCTAAACTATTCAATTATTAAGGGTAACAAGATCTCTACTATTCTAGGTTGTTTTCTACACCGTATTTTTAATGAATTTTATGATCTTCATTTTGCAAGTGGTAATCTGAAGTTCAGGAAGAAGTGGGGGTTTCCTTCAATATTTCTCAAGGGAGCAGGGGAGCACAGAAAGGAAAAAAAATTCTGATACTGAAATCCTCTTCAGTAACACAATTTTTATCACACTTCAACTCTTTTTACTCAGATACTTGAGGGAACGTTAATCATCATGATCTGTTGAGAAAAGTCATTTTAAAGATCACTTTCTGGAATTTCCGAAGGCTTGGCCTCTGCCTCACCCCACAAGTCCTCTTTCCTGTCAGCTGACTCTCATTAGTGTGGACGCCCCTGAAATATTCTCTGTGAATCCAAAACGCAAACACATGTACCAATAAGAAGAGAACAGTTTGGGACTTTTAGTTAGTAATAGTCTCTAGAATTTTTTTTTCTGGAAAATATTTTTAAAGAAACAAATTAAGTACCAAGTTAAAGCAGGATTTCCTGTGCCCTGTACCCCTGTTTCCAGGAAAAAACTTCTTTTAAAAGTTGATTCTGAGCACTTTAATTACTGAGAGTCTCCTACCCCTCTCATCTACTTCCTTAAGGCTTCAACTTTGACCTTCCATCCAATTTACTCATTCCTCCAAAATCAAGTGTGGAGGAAGGAGGGTTTTCAGAAAAAACGGAACTTTGCTGAACGATGGCATAGGATCAAAAGGGTGTAGATAAAACTTGGCTTCAGTTTCTCAAAATACTGGAAGAGAAGCATTTCCTCCTCCAGGAACCCTCTGAGAGAAATTACAGCCCATTTAAATGAAACAATATGCACACAAGGAGCACTTGTCTACAGGTGGTGGGATTTCTCTACATTTTTCTGTATTCCTTAGCATTCTACAAAATTATGTGTTATTCTTACAATTAGGAAAAAAGAAAGGGAGATAAAAATGACAAAACTAAATGCTGACAATGTTTTGAGGAATTAAGTATGTTCTTAGATTGTGCTGGTGGTGCTGTTAAATATAATCTTTTGAGGTGCATCTCTTCAGCATGACTTCACTTCAGTTATAAACCCCCCAACTCCTCTGGCACCCCCCCAAAAGACTAAAAGCAAAGTGTTTCTGCTGAGATGCTTAGAGCTTTTTGATCAGGCTGAA